CCGGGACACTTGAAGACCTGCAAAAAAGGGGGGGGTGTGCATGCATGTGCGTGAGGGGGGCTCAAACCCATCCCTGAAACCAAAGTCCCAAGAATCCCCAAGAAAGGGGCTGCAGCTCCGTGCGTGATGGGGGACAAGGAGGGAGGAAGAGCTGGAAGAGGTGGGTCGTTGCTGTCCTACAGCTCCAGGCCACAGAGCAGCTAAAAGGCTCAGGCAAGCTCTGCCCTGCAGCATCCTTTCTCCCCAGGCTTTGCCCACTCCTCCTCCACCCTTAAAGCCAGGGACTGAAAGCCCCCAAGCCTGGGAACTTCTCAGCTCATTTCACATGTGAGAGGAGCAGGGCTGGAAGCCCAGAGAGCTCTCCCACCAGCCAGGGTAAAACTACAACGCTGGTCCATCAACCTACCGGCGACTCTCCCATCACCCTCTCGCCGTTGTTGATCCTCATGACCCCTTTGCGCCCATTCCTCTCCAACAAGACGCTTATCCAGGTGTTGAGGGGAACCGGCTCTTTGCTCCTGGGGGTGAGAAGGGAGGAGAAGACACATGAATGAGAGCTCTGCCATGGCCACCTGCAAACCTCTGGTGACCAGCCTGGGATGTCCCAGCTCTGCCCTGCCCTACCGAGGGACCACCGATCAAGAGCCAAACAGCCCAACCCAGTACAAAACCCAGTCCCTCCAGCTTCCTTATGGTCTTCTGGGGAGGGAAGCTGGAAACTGAAAGCCACCACTGTCCCTCTCCTGCCTCTGTTGTCACCACCGCCCCGAGGAGCAGCCCCCCAGCCCACCCACCTGAGCACGGCTGCCCCTTTGCCCAGGTCGTATCGGTACTCCAGGTAGCCATCGTGTAAAGCCAGAGAGATAAAGTCCCCTTTGCCATCTGTCTTCTGCCCGTTGTAGAAGATCATGCCGCTGGGGTTCTTGGCCAGGAACACAACTTCCATGGACATTTTGTCCCTGGGGAGAGAAGGATTAGGGATACCCTCCAACCCAGCTGCTCGCATGCTCTCTTCCTCGGTGTGCCAAGCCCTTGGAAAACCTCTGCCTGGATGGGACCACAGGTATGACAGAGGGATGCCACCCCCGTAGGGCACCCTTGCCAGGTCAGGGATGCGTTTGCCGCGTTCAGGATGCTGCCCCGCAGTGCCTGTTTGCAACACGAAGCACCCAGGGCACGGTGCTGGCTCAGCCTGGCTGCAGGGATTCCAGCAATGCCAGTCCCTCTGGAAAAAACCTCCAGCAGGCAAAAGGCAAACCTCTAGGGACAGATGCCGTGTGACAAGCGAGGCTCAGAGTGTGAGCTTTGTCCCCTGAATCCCCAACGCGTCCACCTGCCCCTCTTCTGTCCCCTGGTACTTACTGCAGGTCAGGAACGAAGGTCTGCAGGCCGTTCAGCTCCAGGTAGGAGAAGCCATTGAACTCCGGGAGGAAGGGCATGGTGTGGTCCTGCTCTGTCACTGGGCACAAACGAGGTAATGGTGAGGAAGAGGAGGCAGAGCAGCTTCAGCCAGTGCCCCAAAGCCACAGCGGGCAAAGCCTCCTGGCCACCCAGGCTGGGGGAAATCAGCACCTTCAGTTCCACCCCCTTCCCCAGCCCCGCTCCGCTGCCGGCTCCCGTCCCACCTAGCTCGCAGAAGTCTCCTTCCCGGCCCATGGGACAGGCGCACAAGGCACCTCCCTCTGGCAGCACCAGGCACGTGGCCGAGACGTGGCAGGGCGAAGGCTCGCAGGGATTCCTCTCGTCAGCACACGTGGGACCTGCAGCAGAAAAGGCAACTTCTCACATCAGCATCCCACCCATCAGCCATCAGGCACCACTTGGCCAGAGATAAATGTCTCTGATGTCTCCTGATGGCCCTCCCAGCCTTTTTCTCCTGTCACAGGCTAGATTCCCATGACCCAAGAAGTCCCCTGCAGTGGACCCCACAAAAGGTAGATGATACCATCGCTTAAAATGCATGAGGAAATTTTTTTTGTGCACAAGAACAGATCCCAGCCCTTGTCTCATATGTGTATGAATAGATACACAACCTAAATTCATGCTCTTCACTGGATGTGGCTTTGTTCCTCCCTCTAACCCACTGGTGACACGCCACATCCCTCCCTGCTGCAGCTCTTAACGTGACCCCGGAGCCCCTGGGATCCCTCAGTGGGACCAGAACCCCCAGCAATGCCCAGCCCCCTCCCCGTACCGGTGTAGGTGTGGAGACACTCGCAGTGGAACATCTCTGCCTCCTTGACGTGGCAGATGCCACCATGGTGGCAGGGGTTGGGGTGACAGGGGTCGTTGCCGCACTCGCCCACCCCGCTGCCGTACAGCACATCGCTGCCCTTCTCCCGCAGGTCGTACATCTGGTTGTTCACGTCCAGGAGGCGGATGCAGCCCTTCAGGCCGGTTGTAGCCGCGGTACGATCTGCCACCCTGAGGGGACAGAGGACAAAGTGAGTGGGGGTTTTGTCCCCAAGGCCTCCAAACCATCTGGCCCAGGCTGTGCTCCCCAGTCCGGTCCCCCCACTCACACAGCCATTTGGTCCTCCGGCGCTCCCCCGATGAACAGGTCGGTGTCGAGGTTGAGGCCGTCGGTGCCCGGGGGGCTCTCGCCGCTGACGTGGGGCTCCCCATCGACGGCCAGCACGCCGCTGCGGCGGGTGCGGGTCCCCCCCCACCGGGGCCCACTCGCCA